TTATCTTTTAAATATTACACGCATAGTTTAATACAATACTATATGCAATAATAAAATTCAACATCGAAAATTGAAATTGAATATTGCGAGATATAAGCATATTACAAGGTGAGAAAAAATAAGATAATAATTCTGATATGGTTAGAATGTGGTTAGAAGATGAGATTTATGAGAGTTAATAAAAAAAGACAACATAAAAAGGATCTTGAATGACAAAGAAGATGCACTACATGTTACAGTTATTTTTTTTTCCTGTAACCTGGTTTTCCTTCTTCCCTTCACTCGTATCTCTATTCTTCTGCGAGAGAACAATCCATCTTTCACAGATGAACATAAAACGCCATGTTCAGATTATTGAAAAAAAACAAAAAACGATGAAGAATTAGAGAACACGAAAAGAACACAATAAACCTATATCGGCACTATCTTTGCTTTAGCGAAATATCACGTAAAACAATTGTTCGATCTTCATCTTCCTTGCTTTCAAAATAGATAACAAAATAGAATCTCTGTAAAAATATGCTCTGTGATTTGGGTGACAAAAAAAAGAACAGAATTACTGTAATTTTCTGTAAATTTCAACTATGTTGTAAAGTATACAAAAAATTTTGATGTCGCATTTTGTTTCACTAAACAGATTTTCACAAAAAGAGTTTATCAAAGAGAAATTTACCAAAATGCTTCAAAAATACTAAATTATCTTCTTCCATTACAAGTTAATAAATAAATTAATTAATTAAAATAGGATCAATTTTTTTATATAATGAATACTTGTTCGAAAAGATATTATTAGAGATATTAAAGCTATACATTAACATTTTTTTAAATGTCTCATAAACGACACTTTAAGTGATCCTTAACTTTCCTGTAGCAACAGAAGCATCTTTTTGTTCTTCGTAATAAAACAATTTTACAAAAAGATCATCTCTCGTCCGTCAATCTACGAAAAAAATTGTTCTAGAAAATATACTATTTAAATAATTTATAAAATAATCTACGTTAACTCTATTTATCCTTCAAGTGTTATGCAACTTTGTTAGATTCGCCAGAATGCGCAAAAAGCAACGGTATCTATCCTTTCTAACTTTAAAGCCTATCAAGTATGAGTGCGAGCGCGTGCGTTCGCAATCAGTTTTCTTGACTTACGACCATACATATTGACGAAGAGCATAGCTAAGAGAAGAGTATAGTGGTTGTTGGTGGCGGCGGCGGCGGCGACGGCGTAAAACCGTCATTACCGCCAATTACAATAAATCCCGCGCCATATTCTCCGCTTATCGTTTTCTGTGCGTCTACGCTGGAGGTATGGTTTAATCTATAATCCGATGTGAAGGTAATGGAACATAGATATACGGGGTGTTCCGAACTTAATATTGAATAGATTAATAGTAGAATCCCAAATATCAAATCAAGAAAAATAGTTTCTTCACAATACAAAAAAAAGCATAATTCTCAAATTCTTGAAAAGAATCTCTCTTAAAGAAATTTAAAGAATACTAACAATTAGACTTCAAAGATATCAAAGTACCAAAGATTAGATTCCAAAAACTATTTTCGAGCAATTTGCTTTTCAAGATATTTGATATAAAAAAAAGTTGTAATGCAAGTCTCTCATCAAATTTTAAAAAGATATCTTCATTTCCCCAATAAAATAAATTGAAGAGCCATCATCAGGAATATATCGCAAATGTCAAGACACTCCGTAGAGATACGTGTTTTAAAGGAGAGGCTCTCTCGCAAGAGAAATAGAACGAAAGAGGGAGCGAAAGGAGAGAAACAGAGTGAGGACTCGACAGAAAGACGGAGGAAAGCGGGTGTGCGCAGCAAGCACAACTGGCGCGGGTAATCATTTTCCGCAGCTACACTTTCACGACTGATGATCGGGTAGCGTTTCAGCGGCGATCGACACCGGTCGACTGGCCAGATTTACTCCTCCCTGTAACGTACGTGTGCGTATGCCACTCGCGAGCGTATGTACATGCATGGCGTGGCGTACGCCACGTATTCGTGGACACGATGAACGTCAACTCGCGCGCGAGTTAATGCTGGTGTAAACGCAACTACCACTTGGTGCTCACTCACGGAGCTCCGCTATACACCGCCTCGAGACTTCTCTGTCGTTCGTCTAGAAACAAGTGGAATAAACTTGCACGCACCCATGGGACTTCCGCGAGGCGCGTCATCTCGCCCGCTAGTAAAACCGGGTCCCGCTATATGTAGATGATTACTGATTACTTTGAATTGTAGCCGAAGACGTCAGACGATCGATTTCGAACGTATAGAATCATATCTGGAAATCTAACTGTTATTTACAGTTATAAAATTAAAATGTTACAGCAGTCATTTTTTCATTTTAAATAAAGAAACATACTGTCTAAAAATTTTTAAGTGAATCTCACTTTGAAGTGTGAAAACTTATTTTTATTTCTTAAAGATTGAAAATTAAATTACTCTTTTTTGAAGATTGACCCAATTTTCACTCCTCAAAGTGAGATTTCATTCCAAAGAATTTAGAGAGTACGATACGATTCGATTTCTCGAATATACAATTTGATTTTTGATAATGAGGGCACGGTGTATAAGAAAAAATACAAAACAAAGGAGAACATTACCGAATCGGGCAATGTAAAAGGTAAATTAACCAGAGGTACTAGTTGGACTTGTTACAATTCTGCCTCTTGAAAGACTCCAGCAAAACGGCGTGGCCGCCGATGCACGACGCCCGTATTGGAGTGCACGTGGTGACTCTCCAGCGACCGCGCAACCACAGCCGTGGTCCAGATAGATCACGTCTGATATAATTAATGAGCACGACCCGCAATTCCCATACACACCTCCGGCTCGCCCGGTCCGCCCTAACAAGCACCTCGGCGAACCTAAGCTAACCCGTGCAATCGAGAAGTCGAACTTGTTCCGTTCGCGGCGAAGCGGCATTATGTAGGTATCTGGGTGAGAGAGTCCGCGCTTCCCTGCTCGCGATCTTTCCAGTAAAAATTGGCGATTACAATTCGATCGATCGTACAATCGCCAATTATACAAACGGAACGTGTGTTTTAAAACGACAATATATTATAAAACTAATAATCATATCTATAATAGATTTTTGCACTAGAAGGCATAATATGTTTATCTGCTTATATTTAATACAATTTTTAATACTGTTATAAATATATATATTATGTAAATATATATATAATGTAAATTTATAAATAATAATTTGAGAGAGTTTTTTAGAGCGTCTAATAACGCTTATTACCTCTTAATATATGATAATTTTCCGGTCCTTTACTACACAATGAATTTATATTACCGATTAATTTTTATCACTCTTACAAATATACAAAAATTATTAAGTGATTCTAACATGTACGTACTTTACAAAGTGTATGTAAGATACTTAGACTATTATTTAGCAAAGTGCTTAAAATGCTGGTATTTAAAAAAAAGAAATGCTCAGAATACGAATGATCATGTATACTAAGATTTAATAATAATATTAATTTTGATGAAACGATGATATTATCTCAATGTTAAAGAGATAGGCACGTAAAAAATCAATAGCAAAGTATTCCTAATACTACTACTTTGTTCTTTTTTTTCTACATCATACATAGATATCACAATCATCTGTAGAAAGAAAATGTAAATACAAATAGCGAGTAATCTAATATCTAATGTTCAAATGTATATTAATATGTCCTATTAAATTTTAGCAAAAATAAATAAAAATATTAATAAAGGAATAAGTATTTTGCATTAATGTAGATTAACAAGTTCCATGCGAGATATACATGGATGCGAATAAGTCAAGTGGCGCGAGGGGCATGTCTCTGGACGAGGCCGTGCAGAGAAAGTTGAGATGCTTAAACTTTCAATCAGAATATCATAAGCGTTAGGCGAAATAACGTTCTATATCAGATATATTCGCTATCGCATTTCTTCGCGTGAATTGTAGGATCAGTAGGACGCGAGCAAAGGAGACGAATTCTAATCGTTGTACCCACATCAAATTTTACATGATACATGACGATTAATTGAATAAAATCGATATCGTGGGACTGAGCAATATAATCAATATTTATTGATAACGATAGCTAAAAGTTTAAACCTAGTAAGATGTAGAAGAAAAATGAATTCGATATAAAAGGGAATATGTTTATAAGAATGACAAAACAGAGACAAAAATAATGAAGAGAAAAGAATACAAAAATATCCGAAATTAACACGAGAAAGCCTAAAAGTAAAATATACATAATGCAAAATCATCTTGTAATAAACATCTTTAGTAAATATCTCTCGCTAATAAATTTTGTTGTATTGCTGTTGCTTCATAATTATTGTCAACATGAATATTTATAAAGATAAATGACAGAACTTCATAATCGCAAATAATATTAAATCTTTCTGATAATCGATAAGCCGTATACGTTCGATGACCGTAATCTCGACACTAGCGGTACCGTCAAAGAATATACATATGTATGTTAAAAGAAGCGCACAATGTCCATCCATTTGAATACAAACCACAACTATGGTTACTGCGCGCAAAGCAGTAAAGCGAATTGCAACACATATACCGTGTATGGGCAAAGGAAGGTTTCCCTGTTCGTAATTTATGTTCTTGCTCTTAATGCGCTACTAGCAATGATTAAAACGTAATTTTCACGGATAGGAAGAAATACGGCGTACTTGCGTTTTCCTTCGTTTTGATTTACGGCGCTTTATTTTTCTTCATCATGATTTATACCAACGATCGTTCTCCCGTAAACGCTCTCGCGAAACACGACGTCCGATTCATTTCACACTTTATCGAATAAAATCTAACAGTTTATACACGTACAAACAATTTCTTAGAAACTCAGCTTATATTATTTAATTGTGAGAATCGAACTTTTTGATTATCAGAAACAAAGATTAAAATCTTTAAATTTTACTTCATTCTGAGATATTATTTTATAATAAATTTCATTAATCGATTTAAAATACTCGAACAGACTTACTCCACAGCATGCAGGAACTATTATCTCCTCGCTCGCAGGAACTTTCGGTGCGTCCTCTTCTTCCTTCACAATAATCATTAATTCCGAGTTAAGATCTGTTGCGGTCTCGTTTACTTCCGGAACTTCTGCTATCAATGTATCGTTCGAATCGCACTTATTCAGATTCGTGTCTTCCGTCATTAATGTCTCGAGTGAGATCGCCGCATCTTTTTTTTCTTCATCACGGAAAAGCTCTGATTCCTTCGTCGGAATTTTCTCGTCCGAGACAGATTGTTCTGAATTTGCATCTTTGGCGTCCTCATACAAAGACGTTCTGCTTCTGCTAAGATCGGCCCTACGATCCTCTTCCAATAGTCTGGTGAGAGCATCATGCGAAGTTTCCTCGAAGTTCTCGCCCTTCAAGAAATTCTCCTCGAGCGTTTCAGGCACAGGATCTTCGACAGACTCTACATCGCGGACCGCCTCTTCGAGTCTCTCTTCGGGGAATTCCGTATACTTCTCCGGAGGTTCATCGTGATCCTCCTGCTGACTCGCGCAAGTTGAAACGTCGTCCAAGTACCACGAAGTGCAGTTCTCCTGGCGTCTCTTGTCTGTGACGCTCTCATCACCTTTCGACAGCGCGCCCTTGCACTTCTTCAGATAGTTCTTCACTTTTTTAGTCTTACTTTTCCTGGTCTCCTGGCTGCGTGGCAAAGTATTGTCAACGTTATCGCCCGCATCCACTGATATTACTTCCGCAGGCGATTTCAATTGTGTTTTCTCGGAATTGTGCTCATCTTTCACTTTAGAATCGACACCGTCAAAACAGACGCACGAATCCTGTTGATCAGCAGTCAGAGTCCATGTCTCTTCTTTCTCCGGCGGCCGGCGATCTGCCGGTATCACCTGTTACAAGAATAAATGTATATTATTCTCAAGAAATATACAAATATTATCATAAAATCAATTAAGTTCATATAGGTTCATTAATTGCTCGCATTCTCCATTGTCATTATATCTATGATCTATTGTATTTCTACATCATTATAAATCTAGCAAATATCGGTGGCAGAAATTTTCCCACAGTACATTCACATTTCGCGACTGATTAATTTACATAATCAATACAAAAAAAAAATCTCGATTGTGCGCGATAAGAATTGCGTCAGCTCGAACATAAGTTGAACGATATGGCGCGACCGGTCACTCGATCGCTTTCATAATAATCTGTAAGATCGATTAGATAGTACAACATGGTTAGGCACAACTATATCGGAAACAATCATTCAACTAGTTGCAATGCGACACGTAAAATAATAAGCTTATAATAAATATCGACGAGAAACGACGACAACGATGATGTTGTAGTTAGCTAATATCAACTCTAAGCGATGCATAACGATGACATTTTACACTGCGACTATGCGAAGCATGCGCCCATAATACCATCGGGAATACAACTTCCTCCCGTAATATTTCCGATTTCATAATGCGCCAGCCTCTAGTTTCCTACTCTCTGAAACACGACGATGCGCCGCTCCCAAGGACGTGAGTCATCGCGCGCGTGAAACACAAATATAAAGTGCTCCAGCTACCTCCCCTCGCATTGGTTAGTCAGGTAGGTATGAGAATAACCAGCAGTTGAGATCAATTCCTCGCAAGAACAATAAGAAGAGAAAAAATTGTCAAAGTCTAATGCGCAGCTGCAAATATTTGTAACGATTGTATCAATGAAAATAAAAACGATTGTATCAATGAAGTATATATTAATAACAAATGTTTTGATGTTTACATGATATTTCTATTTCAAATTCTCTTCTTAATGATTCAAACAAGATGCTCATAATTTTTTAAAAATATCTATTCAAAATTTCTAAGTATTTATTATAAAATATTTGCAACAATTGCATCATTAAAATGTTAATAATGTTTTAACGTAGTTGTATATTTCAAATATTCTTCTTAATAATTTAAACAAGATATTTAGTTTTTAAAGTTCCCTATTTAAAATATCTTAAAAATTATTGATAATTAATAAATACAAATACAAAATTATTAGTACATTCCTAAGTGATCTTCTAGCGGTGATCTTTCAATTTCTACTGCAAACTGCTTTCGAAAAGCAGTTTAATTAATTATTTTTATGTATGATTCAGCACAGCCTTGACAATATGCTAAATCTGCGAAATAGATGATCACGTCACTGTCAAGGTTCCGCGATCTCATCTTCAGACTTCCATGTAAGCGCGCGAAAGTTGCAGACGAATATCCGTTCCCGAGTAAATCTTGGCCTAGCAAAGTTTGCATGTTTCTGCGACGAACAAAAATAGCTGTGCGAGCAGATCGACAGCGGCCAGAGCTGGTTTTATATCGTTCTCTGCGAGAGAAGGGTTCCCTGCGAGAACCCGGCTGGAGATCGAATCTCTGCGATGATGCGATAGCGAGATGAGGCGTGGGAGCGAAGTCGAGCTAATCTTTCGAGCAGCATGAGCAGCTCTCATTCGGAGCGCGTGTCTCCTTCGTCTGCCGCTGCTCTTGTGCCATCAAGAGGGAAAGTTCGAGTGTCTGATCATGTGCCTTTCCTCGCGCGTCGCGACCGGAAAAGTGCACGCGAAGAATAAATCAAGAGCGTAATAGAACAGAGCGAAACTGTTCATTGTGCGATGTAAAACAGCCAAAACAATAAGCGACGGCCGGTTACTCCTTCTCTCCCTCTCTTTCTCTCCTTTTCTCGAAGCGCGATTGAAAACGTGTTTAATACTTTAATCAAATTATTAACCGACGGCGAAATCGGTACTTTCCCCTCCCTCGTAAATTTTACTCTCGTTTCCCGCAGCACGACCGTTAGGTACTTTATTACAATGAGATCCAAACCTATTAGAGAAACTCGGAACAACCGGACACTGGCTAGCTAGATGGTTAAATGAGTCGATCGATGGCCCGTGCTAACTGCCTCGGCAACCAATAATAATTACTCTTTTCTCTGCGCCTCGACTATATACATACTCATACGCACATATGTCATGTACGCCGTAATTCATTTTCTTTCTTGATATGTGAAATCGGCGTACTTCGCGTTGCGTCGTGCTCTCCACTGTCGGGCTAAATTACCATAACGGTTAAACCATGGATAAGAGATGTGCATATGTAATTGTATGATACGTGTATCGCGCATGTATTTGCACGGAAACCGCTGAAGAAATGATCGTATAGCCTACGGTAGTCTCAGTAACGAGAAGTCGCCAATCGTCAATACACGGGCATATAAATGGCCGCGATAGCGAGTACGTATGATCATTGTGCAACGTCAAAGAGAGATATGAACGTGGATAATTACACAACGAGTACTCAAGCGCACAATGAAATATCATGTCATCGCATTACGAAATGCGCTCCTGTGAGAAGGACTTAACCCGCAATTGATGTTGCATCCATCGCAATTGCGATTTATTAGCATTACGTGGGAAAAACACAAAGGGAAAAGAAATTTGGAAAATTTAGAAACAAGTTAGAAAAGAAATCAAATATCTATTTTTGAATCTTTCGTTGAATCTTTCGAAATTCAAGTGGATTTAGTGAACAATTCGTTCGTATTTTTTCATCGAAATTCAATTTCAGTTTATTCAGATTATTGTTATATTGTTAAATATCAAAGAAACAATAATCCAAGCTCTGAAATTAAAAATAACATTTTATTATTTTTAACGCCCATATATGTCAAATAAAAAATCACTCCATTTTTGTGGTTAATTTCACAATAAATAATATCCATATTGAAGTTATACACTAAGAACAAGTAAATAATAAAGTAAATTTAAATCAAATTTAATACATTTTCTTAAATTAAATTGTTTGATTCTATTGTTTTCATTAAATTAATTTTTTTCATTAAATTTTATATTGAATAGAAACAATGAGACCTACAGAAATGATTACATATAAATAACTCGAATTGAATACCCATAATTTGACATTATAAAAACAATGTGCAATGTCGTAATCATACAATGACCTAAGATATGCGAAACTAGAAGGCACATTCCATTGCAATATAGTCATCAATTACGGAACCGCGATATGAGACCGACCATGCTGCTGTGAAAGAGAAGCGCATAAAATAATAAATAATCTCTATTACACGCGCGTACAATAAATCAATGCCTATCTAGACTGACGTGTGATATGCGATTCCGGGTGCACTCCGTCGCGCGAATACATCCCCGAGCGATCCGGGACGCGCCTCTGCGAAGGAACGTCTTTGACACGGTGCGCCGAATCGCAAAGGCGCGCGATTAATCTTCGTATCCTCTCGCGTTACCGCGAAGGTGTTCTCGCGATATCGGCAACAATGTTAATTAGTCCGCGGGATAATTTATACCCCCGGCACTCCATCGTCATCCAGGAGCGGATTGTTATGGGGAAGGGCAGAGAGCGCTCCGGACGCGGACGTAAATCACGGGTGAGATGCGATGTATGGAGAAAACCTGGCTCTTCTCTTGCTCGAGAACATCGCCGGTTAAATATTGAATAAAGATCCCGTTCACGCACACGTATACGTATAAGTAGATATATGTGTATGTACGTGTACCAAAACACGACCGGCATGTTAGACTGTCTCGGTCTCCTGGACGATATTACCAGTCAACGAAGCATACCACGACGATAGCACCCACTTTATTACGGCAACCATAAGCATAGATAACGTATTTATCGGCTAGTAATTCGCACCACTTACCTATTTTAACTAAGCTCTCATGATGAAAATTACGAGCCTAATCTGGACCTACGAATAAGGAATGTGCGCGCGCGCGTGTGTGTGTGTGTGTGTGTGTCGAAGTAACATGTTGATTGTCTTGATAATTACTCGATAAAATGCAATTATGTTTCGAAGCTTCATCTTCCAGTTTCCATTCGCTTAAATGAAGCAAAAGATATCGTGAGTTTTCTCGGATATTAAAATACGATGTGTGACTTTGCTCGCAGCTTGACAAACAGTATGTTAATAAGAACCGGATGTATCACTTACATTGTTTCGACACTATTTTCATCGAATACGACAGCTAAGCCAATCAGTGTCAATCAGAATCAAATTTCGCACCAAGATCAGCACACTGACAAGCAATCGCGACTTGCTTTAGCTACATTACTTGTTATGCCTTATTTTTAAGTTATTCTTGTTGTTGCAGTAAATGATACCATTTACTGCAGCGTAGCGTGCAGCAAGAGAGACGTTGACAACTCGCTGAGTAACCCCCTCCAACAATCTGCCGCAGTCCTCTTATCGCAAGTATAATTTCGCAAGTATAATTTCTATACAATTGTTATAAACAATTAATGATAGATTAACGATATACAGAATCCACAATATTGAAAAAAATAAAAAATGTGTGAAGAAAAATATAGTTTGTTATATATTGTTTCTAAATATTCTATCACAGCCTAACAATTAAACCATTTCAAGTAATTATTAAGTATCAATAAATGTAAAATAAAAAGTAGTATTAAAAAAGTACTTCTTTTCTAACTTATTCCCATTTAGCGTTATATATTATAAATGTAACTCTACTTTAAGTACACTGCATTGAAAAAGATAGCAATATTGTTAAATTCTTTATGCTGATACAAATCACGTAAAAAAGATTTTTTAAAAAAGATTTTTTTTTAAATATTTGCTATTTTTTGTCAGAACTATAGCATTAATTAAGAGAACTGTTACAGATCGTACGTGACTTGTGATTTAATTTAATGCAATATGTGATCCCAAGAACCACAGAACGTTGTTATTTGAGGGAGAAAAAGTGTTTTGCTACGTGGTTGGAGTCCCCATGGCTGCTGCGCATCTGAGAGCAAGGGTGGAAACTGTAGGGCGCACGCGAGAGTTGCGATCGATATTA